TACCTAAAAACGAGCAGCACAAGTGATCCTTGCCACACGTCCATGAACAAAGATCGAGCGTAATCATGAGGGGTAAGGATCTATTGCCCCCCATCGAAGTTGGCTTGGTACCATGCACTGGGAGAGGGGTGTTTCTAGCTGGTTCGAATGTGGTTTTGTAAACCTTTATTTGGCCATTAGAAAGCTCCCCCAACAGCGCCCCAACCACTGCTTCAAACACAGGTGTCTGCTTTCATCACCGCATACTCCAAATTAACATTAATCCCCACTCTGCAACACATTTTTATAACAGTCTCCCAAACATTCATCATTCCTCTTGACTTACACCCCAAGGCAGACTGCATCAAAATTTATTACTGTCCTAGCCAGTGATACAAATGTCCGAGTTGACTACTGCAACTTACTACCTATAAAAAATTGAGATAAACTATTTAAAATATATGCTAATTTGAAAATTTTAGGGACAACCATCTCTACTCATCCCTTCTATTCATTCCAGCTTTGAACATGTGCTCTTGCTCCTTGTTAAAGCTAATCCCTTATGGATTAAGTCGTTGGACAACTTTTTTTTCCCGATAAATTTGAGGTAAATACAAAATAAAACCTGTTTAAAAACTCTTAACTATTTAACAATGAATAACTCACACTCCCAACATTTACGATACTCGAACATGTAAACTCAAAGGATAACAACAAGTTCCTTTACACTTAGGGACAACTTTAAATTAAGTGGATTCATCCATATAAAAATGAGTTCGAACAAATATTTGTAGGATATATATATATATATTGTTAATAGGCTAAAAAATCTAATATTATTTTTGTTGATTGTATTAAGTTTTTATTTAGTGAATGAAAATAAATTCATGTGCTCATCTATAAAAGAAGGCATTATTCTTCTTTAAAACAATGAATTTTTATTTACTCGAATTCCATTTTTCCAAGTTACTTTCTTTCCTTTCTCTAATTCCATTTTCACTTTGAAACTATATTTTCATAGCAATTATTTATTTATCTAGTCGAAAAGATAGGCTACTAATGAGTTTTATTCAACATCCTTCTCAGGGATGAGCATGGGTCGGGTTTTTCCCAACCCGATCCGACCCGAAATATATATTCTCTACCCGACCCGAAAAATATATATCATTCTTCCGACCTGACTCGAAATAATAAAAAATTATTTTTATTCAATAAAAACACTGATTTAATTGAATATATAGAGAGAGGATTATTATTGTAATTATTCCTAAATATATAAGGTAAAATTATATTTTTTGGATCGGTTGGGTCAAGTATTTTTCATCATGAACCCGAACCTGACCCAACCCGAATATCACCTTTAAAAAATCTGACCCGATCCAATCGAAATTTATTTTTTTTAAAACCCGACTAGATCAGGTCGAATCCCGTCAAGGCCATGCCAATCCCTAAATTCCTTGCCGTTCTATCTATCTACTATCAATAAATTCATTTTTTTTACTAACATATAGAAATAAATTCGTAGTTTCAGATTTCAATGCATGTTTGCCTGACACACTCTTCAATGAGTCAACATGATTGGTGTACTTACGTCATCCTGATCCTTTTACTTACAGCCCCATTTGTTTACTCCAAAATCAGTGCCTCTCAAGTCTTGAACTTTTTCAATCATAAAAAAAAAGGATAAAACTTGTTGTACCATCTTCCACACGTATTATCGCATGATTTTTGATATATCTATGCGATATTTCATAATCAATTTTCTTTTTGTATAATAAAAGTTTAGATCAAGGTGATTTTATAGTTTAAGATCAGTGTATATTTAACACTTAGTTATAACTTATATAAAAATTTACAAATTACTCATTAAGAGTGTCGTGATAAGATTTAAACTTAGTCTTACATGTTCAAATTCATGAATTTCAACTATTTGTTCCAACATTCATAGGCATTATAATCAAATCTATTATCAATTTGATTGTGTCTATCTAGCTTACTAGTATACAAGTAAAATATAATTTTTGACTAACACATGAGCTAATGGCTTCCTATAAAATATCTTTGAGCATGACCGATAGATAGGATACACAACAACAACAACAAAACCCTATTCCCATATGCAATGAGGTAAGGGGAGGTAGGGTAGTAGGCTGCCCCCAACGCCAGGTTGAGAACATCTTTCGTAGAAGACCTCCGGCAGTCAGAAAAATTAAAAATAAAGATAAATATCCAATGCATGTATAAATAAATAAATTAATAAATACATAGTTAAACAGTCATCATATGCAGTTTTCATACATGTGTCTGTAATGGGAAGTAATCTCTGCAAATAAATCGAAGATAGAAACATATCATCTTATTTTCTTTTATTCTAACTCCTTACGAAGATAAAGTGTTTAAATATTAACCAAAAATCGATCTATCACTGACTACAACACTATATTTATATCTATATCTATATCTAAATCTAAAGGAGTAAACCTCGACAACCCATTTAGTATCATCAATAAATTTCATATTAAAATGACATTTAAAAATGCACGTTATTGTAGTGTGTGTGGTAATTTATAATATAACTGCATAAAAAATTATTATAGTAATACAATTATATAAATTTACACTAATTTTTAAGCATGTATTTGGTAAATTAATAAAATAATAAGAAAATAAATATTTTATGCAATTTTAACTATTTACTTTAACATTTCAGATTTGTTGAAGCATTTTATATCTCGCATCAAACACGTACTCTTTCTTATCAATTGCTAGTCATTAGTCAGATTCTTTATAATCTGGACCAAGGTAAGAATCGTAATTACTGTAATAATAAATATGTGTTGGTAATTTAAATAATTTTATTTTAACTAAAGCTTATAAAATAATATTTATTTAAACTTTTTTAAACCGTTAATGTTATATAAATATTCAATAAATATAATTATTCGAATTTAAATTATTTTAAAAATAATATAAATAATCGATCTTTTCCTCGCACGCAAAATCGTTCAAAAACGTCCGTAGATAACTTTGCTTTTAGGACACTCTATTTACCTATAAAAAAAAAAACCCTAGGGTTTGGTTGATTAACTCCCTACTACCTCAGAGACAATTTTACCACCATTCAACTGCACAATTATTATTTACATCCTGCAGTTTTAACTACCACGTAGATAATAAATAAGAAACAATACAAATTATAGAAATACAGAAATCATATGATCTTATACTTTTTTATGATCGTTAGATGAAAGAATTAAATGTTGCGATAACAGTAAGAAATGAAAATGTATTCATTAAAAAAATAGTTAATTTCAATATTTAATTTCTCTTAATTTATAGATTTTCCAAACACATACGATATTAATTATTTAAAGAAAAATGATAAGATATTTTTTATTCCTAATATATGCGATAAAATTTAGTATTTATTAAAATGTATTTATGAAAACAAAGGATAATTATGCAACTTCACAAAACAATTATTAAAATATAAAGTAAAAGAAGTTGGCAAAATAATTGAAATTGAAAGGGTAAGTAACTATTAAAGGCAGAGCAGGCCATACTGCCACTTGACGTATTTAAGACGGGTTATAGTCAAATGTCTGAGAATCCAGACTTTTGTAGGTTTATTGGTTATTATAAATCCATTTTTACAATAATATTTTGGAAGCAAAATGTATAGGATAACATATAACGGCAAAATTAGAAAGAAAAAAAAATTTAGAAAATATTGTTTAAAAAGTTATTTGTGAAAATATAATGAAATGGACATAAGGTGTTTAACGGGTTGAGTAGTTCGTGAATTATTTGACTTGATTCGATCAAAATTCATTTAATGTTCGATTTGGATTAATTCGGCTGAAACTCAAGTTCAACACGAGAACTTCACAAGTTGAATCAAATAAGATCTAACTTAACTCGATAAGTTTACGAATAATTCATTATTTTTACAATTTTTTTGAAAATTATCTTAAATATTATTTTATTTAAAATATAAATAATAATTACTATTTTACTAACATATAATGGGAAATATAATAAATTATTAATTAATAATCACTAATAATTTATTATTTTTTATAAAAAAATTACTAATTTTATTAAAATTAAAAAGTATATAGAATTACAATGAAGATTTATGAGCATTAGGGCATTTTCATATAACAATCGACACAAAAATTAGTCGCTTAGATCACACAAGAACTATAAAAGGAAAAGATTAAAAAAACCTAACTAATGCTTGAACAAAATAAAGATACAAACAAATCCGATTGTATTAGAAACAAACTACAAAAGGGGATGAAACTATCGAAAGACCACCAACAAATTGCAAATAAGAGTCGAGCGAAGTGATAAAACTATCCACGAGCACAAAACGGTGCCACTGCTGGTTAAACAAAATTAAAAGAAGAAAAAACTGGTTAAATTTTGATAATATTTTGGTTAAATTTATTAATTTATAGTAAAAATTATGATGAACTTAACTAGCAAAGAGAATAATCGAACAATAAATTTTTTTAAATAGCATGAGTCGATCACTACTTAACCTATGATGGACTCGACCGATAAACATCCCAAAATTAGACATTAACTAAGCAAAGACTATGGAATTTGTAAGTCTATGGAATTTTTTTGTTAAATAATATTTTTAATTTCATCATTTAAGAGTTTGATATTTTCAAAGATTTATGTCAACTTAAGGTTTATGTAACTATCGATTTTTAAATGATGAATATATTGGTGAATTTATGTTTTTTTTATTGCTAGAGTAAGAAAATTGGAGACTTATGATAAAGTTTTTGAATATACAATTGTTGGAAACATGGTAAGTGATTACATTATGATTATTTATTGCTCTTGGTTAGTTCTTGAGTCTAAAATGAAACACTATCCAACTCCAAGTGAGGTGAAGGAATTAACCATGGATTAAAAGTAGGGTTAAGAAGGACAGCCACAAAAGGCATAGATTCTTCGTTTTTATTATCAACAGTCATCGCTGATCTGCTCCCCTACCCTTTCCTTTTCATCTCCTTCAAAAACACCAACTCAAAAATAATCTCTTTTTTTTTTATCCATTTCCAGCTTTCTTAATTTCTTCAGCTCCATCAAATTTTTCAAAACACCAAATCTTCAAAATCCTTGTTTTAAATTTCAAGTTTTTTTTTCTTGGTTAAAACTAGATGTTAGAGATATGGAGATGAGTGCCTCAAGGAGAACACCGGAGCCGGAGAGCGAAACGCCGTCGCAGATCCAACCGGCAAAGCCCATATCTTTCACCAATGGCGTCCTCAAGCGTCACAAGCCACACACCCACAATCCCCATTCGCCACCCATTGTCATAACCTACAAAGAGTGTCTCAAGAACCATGCAGCCACTTTGGGTGGCCATGCTCTCGACGGGTGTGGCGAATTCATGCCTTCCCCGACATCTGCACCCACCGACCCCACTTACCTCAAATGTGCCGCTTGTGGCTGCCACCGTAACTTCCACCGCCGCGAACCCGAAGTCGAATCTTCTCCCGCAAGCGCCACTCCCACGATAGAATACCTCCCTCAACACCGCCACCATCCACCCCCACCTACTCCGACTAGTCATAACTCAGCATCTCCACCGCCGATCTCATCGTCTTACCACACTTCAGCTCCCCACGTGCTTCTAGTTCTCTCAGGAGGTCAAACCACCGGTGCATTAGACAACAACACTCACCTACCTTCAAACACTTCAAATCTGGGTTCGAACCCGAAGAAAAGATTCAGAACGAAGTTCACTCAGATCCAGAAAGACAAGATGCTGGAATTTGCTGAAAAAATCGGGTGGAGGATTCAGAAAAGAGACGAACAGCTGATTCAAGAATTTTGTAGGCAAGTTGGGGTCCATAGAGAGGTGTTGAAAGTATGGATGCATAACAACAAGAACACTTTTGTGAAGAAAGATGAAGCCAATAACCTCCACACTGGACTCAACCATGAAGACAAAAACAATGGCCAGAATCTGAATCTGATCCATCACTTCGAAACTGTTGATTGTGTTGCTCATACTGGAACAAATGCCTCTTCATCACCCTCTTGACCTTCGGGTGGAGATAATAAGCTCTTAAGAGTATTAAGACTTTGTTTTTTTATAAGTATAATTTTCTTCTTCCTTTGATCATTTTGTTCCTATTGATTTTCTTTACTTATTTCTAGTAAGTTTCTCTTTCCTTCACCGTTTCTCAATTTCTGTTTTTTTTTTGGGATGAGGGGGGGATCATAAACTTCCATGGTTTCTGTAATTTACAGACAGTTAAAAGATAGAAAAAAAGAACTTAAACCTTTGAATCCGTAATGCTCACTAACACAGTGATGTAAGGATCGAAGAAAACACCAGGAGAGTTCCATCCTTGTTATTTGGATTCCAGTGTTAAATCAATATGAATATACTTTATTTTTTATCAACTTTTTATGTATTTTAAAAAATATATAAAAATTAATATATATTTTTTATTAATATGGGGTAAATACAAAGATATTATATACTCACGATAACTCTTAATCTTTTAATATTGAATTCTCACACCTTTAATATTCATAGTGTTCGAACCTGAATACCATAGAATAACGATAATTCTTTTATTGTAGAGGTCGCTTGGTTCGTGTTAGAGTTTAAACATTGAAATTTATACTTTAAGAATGTATTTGAGTAATATAATTGAATGAAAAATATAATTATTATTAATATTTATATTTTATAATGATAATTTTTCTATTAATTTTCATATCATTTTGACGGCATATATTATTTTTTATTAATATGTGATAAATACAGAATCTAACCAAAGATAATTCCCAACTATTTTATATTAATTATTTCTTCTTCTTCAAAAATAAAAGAGTTAATATAATTAAAAATCTCTAACTGCACTTAATTTAGAAGGATTAATAAATGAAGTAATAATCTAAACATACAATGATTGCATAATCATATTCAAATCTAATTATATGATTTTTTTCATACATACCGAAAGAAAATTAAGGGTTACATTACATATTTATTTTTAATAAATTATATAGTGGATGAATATTTTCAGATATTAAAAATTGAAGCAACACGAGCGTATGATCTCTGTGTCTCGGAAGATGAAGCAGAAAATGTTCAAAATCTTGTGTAAGATTATTTAAGCATATCTCATTAGCTTTATACAAATATTTTAGGTCCAAAATTATGTATATGATATGATTTTTTTTGTAATTTATTAGGTTATGGGAAGCCTATACATCATCTTTATTTTATTTCTTCTGTAGAATGATTTTGCATAATATGATTAAAAAAATGTGGCATGTGGATGTTTGTATATGAGTACTTGCAGTATTTTAATGTGGTCGAGATTAAGTGATAAGGATATTTTTTATAATATAAACAAATCTTACTTAAAGCTTTATTTTATTCTTCTTAAAGTATATAAAAAGTAATGAAATAAGAATCGATTTAAATTAGAAATATTGAGTTATTTTTTAATGAGTAATGTTAGAAAGAAAAAGAAGATTATTTTTTTCTTCGTAGAAGCTGTTAATTTCATTAAAAATAGAAAATATTCAAATTACAATGAAGATTTATAATAAATTAAACTTGAACAAAATGTAGATACAAATAGCTATGATTTCATCGATAGACGAATCGCAAAAGGGGATGAAACTATTGAAAGATCACCGACAAATCGTAAACTAAAATCGAGCGACGTGATATTACTATCTACGAACGCAAATCGCGTATCCAAATCAAATCCAATGGTAGCAGAGAAAATCAACATGATAATAAATAAATGTTATCATGATCAGTTGTGACGATATTAAATCTAACATTGAAAAAATGATAAACGAAAACAATACCAAACGACCAAAAACTTAACATAAAAAATAAAGAAAAACGTGTCATAAAATTATAAGAATACGTGTTATAAAGATATATTTATAAGATTTGTACGCCTAAAAGTCAAGGAGGACTCGGGCACCAGGACCTCCGATCTTTCAATTTGGCCATGCTTGGTAAACAAATTTGGAGGCTGATTTGAAATTCGGATTGTCTTCTTGCTAGAATCTGGAAGGCAAAGTATTACCCACGAGGATCTATCCTTCAAGCAGCGAAGGGATATAAAAGTTCCTTTGCTTGGAAAGGGGTTCATCAGGCTATCCATGCTTTATCAAGTGCTCTATATTAGCACATTGGGCAAAGTGGTAACGTTCACATGGTCAATTATAACTGGGGAGGATCAAAGTTGGTTCAACTTAAGGGCGATTATTCATCCTTGCCTAACTCCTGGTTGATTGCCAAAAATTTCATTTTCGAAGGTTCTATGAACTGGGACGAGATCAAGGTTAGCCAAACTTTTTACATGGGCTGACGCTGAGGCTATTCTTTCCACTACCATCGCTCCTTCTCAGGAGTATATTATAGTCTGGGTTAATCACGACTCTGGCACTTATTCAGTAAGATATGAGTACTGGTGGCTGCAACGCCTAACCTATTCCCCCATAACGGCCTCAAAAATCTGGAAGGTGCTCTCTAAAGTCCAAGTTTTGCCCAAGGTTAAGGTGTTTGCATGGCGGGTGGCGCATGAAGTCTTGTTGGTTGGTAAGAGAATACGTCAAGCAGTGTTAGGGGATGGAATTCGTCCCATGTGTGGGTTTGAGGATGAAACGGTTTTGCATATTCTTCGGGATTACAATTATGCACAGGAAACATTTGTATGCGCAGACCTACAGGGTAGGTTTCTCTCTAGTCAGTGAACTTCCCCATTGGGTTGGCTTGAACTTGTGAAGTGCCATTTGGCTCCTGAGGAGCTAACTTGTTTCCACGTTTTACTTTGGAACATCTGGAATGGTCGTAATTCAAAAGTACGTGACGATAGTTTCCAACCACCTTGGATACTGTATATAAATGCTAAGGGTTTGCACAATGGGTACTTAACGGTCAGGCTTCACACAGGGGGCGACTACACGGCCTCCACCCATACAGGGGCCATGGCGCGCGTAGAGCCAGATCGATGGAGACCTCCTCTATTGGGTTATGTGAAGATCAATTTGGATGGTGCCTTTGAGCCTATTGGTTGGCGTGCAACGGTGGGCGTGATTGCTCGGGATGCTTCTGGTCAAGTGCTAAGAGGCATGGCAGTCTCTTTTCCCGATTGTGTTGAAGCTGGATTGTCAGAGATCCACGCTTTTAATGCGGAGCTGGCATTGGCTCGTGATAAGCAGTGAACCAACACCATTTTCGAATCTGACTCTGGTTAGGTGGTTAACAAGCTGACGAGAACAGAAGTTGATGTGTCTACGTTGGGTTTCCATCTTCGTGATGCACGTGAGTTATTGGCTAACAATACCAATTTTAGTGTTTGTTTTGTCTCCAGAGGTTGTAATGTTGTTGCTCATACTTTAGCTAGCTATGCTCTTCGGTCACCGAATGCGTTGTATTTTGACTCGGTTTGTCATGATTTGATTGAATCTGTTGTATCTCTGGATATTGGTTTTGGTAATACAAGGTTTCCCCTCGTAGGATTTAGGATGGGTTTTTAACGAAGTCCATCTTTCTTTCCAAAAAAAAAAAAAAAATACTGTTATACTATGCTTGATTGTGGTGTCTCAAAGATTTGATTTGGAACAGGGTGAAGCCCGTAAAACATTTTAAGAGTAAAGTTAAATCAAATCTACCTATCTATAAGTGTGACATTTATGATGATTATCGAGTGAGTTGATTACAAGTTAAATAGTATTCGATTCGTGTTCGTTAATTTTTTTTACTCGACTCGATTTGTTACTCGTTTAGCTCGTTAAAATTTTACTCAATTCGTGTTCGTGAAAAAAGTTTGTTGCTCGACTTATGCTCGTTAAGCTTAACTAAATTTTTATCTATAGGTAAAATTTATTAATACTATATAAAGCTTAATATAAACATAAATTAATAAGTATAACCCAAAAAATATCAAGAGTGTATTAAACAAATTCATAGTCTAAACTCCAAAATAAAAATTCACAAATACATTAAAATAATAATTAGGATTTAATATTTTGGGTGTAGTAAAATAATAATTATTAATTAATAATTTAGTATTTTTTATTAGAAAAATAATAGATTAGTAATTTAAATATTTTTTTTAAGATAACTAATAAAAAGTTATAAAAAAATTAAAGATTTGTTCGCGAACTTATTGAGTAGAGTTGGACTTTGCTTGGCTCTATTAATTATAAAAAATTAAAGAGTTGCTCGTTAACTTATCGAGTGACAAGTTGAGTTGGACTTTGCTCGACTAAGCTCGTTAAGGTCTCGAGTCGAGCTTTTATCGAGTTTTGACATAGACAAGTTTGAGCTACTCAACTCATTAAGCACCCCTAATGACACATTATATAATTTGAAAATCAAAAGATCTCACGCTTTAAAAAATTATCACGATTTTACTTTTAAGAGTGTATGGATGATTTTATGTTGAAAAAAAAATTATCTTATAGAAAACAATCGCGATGTGCTAAGTTTTGATATTATATATCTTCACTTTATTACAAAATGTTTTTAAAGTCTTATTTTAATCAAAATTATATGCTCTCTCTTAAGAGGAACCTGAATTAAATTATAAACTATTGAAAAATAGAAATGTAAAGAACTTATTATATAACTTCAATTAATATAAGTTGATTATAAAACAAACACACATGTTGATGTTATACTATATACATATAAATGAGTAATTGAGGGGAAAAACTAATAATATGACTTCACCCTGGTGTTCATGTGGCCATCGGTTATAAAATCTGGACCGACTTCACCCTTTGAATTTGTTTAATGGACCTATTTGATCTGCTACATTCCCAATAACCCAAAAACTAATAATATGACTTTAGTTGAATCTGCAACGTGAATAATAAATAATGCAGCACCTTGAAAGAATGAGACATAAATACGATCCAAATTATCTTAGTGGTTAAAGGAAATGTTATTATTTTTAGATGTCACGAGTTCGAGCACCAGCGACTGCAAATGTAATTGAACGTTCATTGTTAAATGGTTAAGAGTACTTAGAATAGACAGTCAAATACTATTTATAATCACCTTTAGTTTAATAAAAGAAAAAAAG